CTGGAAGGAATGGCTAGACTCCTGCAGAGTTTCAAGCAGCTCCTGGCTTATGGCACAGTTTGAGTCCTCTCCCACACCAGCATTTCCCCTCTCCTCTTCTTCCACGCTGTTCATGGCAGGAGTGTCTATCTTGGGCTCTTCCAAGGTATCCAAACTTGTTCCCAGGATGTTGGTTGGGGCTCTGCCAAGTACGTAAAAGTGGCAGGGCTACCTGGCAGCACCAGATGTCTTGTTACTCTCCTTCACTTTGTGACATGTCTGGCATAGTTTCTGCACTTCCACATAGTGCTGCTGTTGATCCATGTCATGTCCCTTTGCCACCATCACTCCTGAAATCTTCTCGTAAATATCGATGTTTATATGGCTGGTGCACAGCAGTTCTTGCAGTCTCGACTTCCCATAAGCCACATCTAATAGCTCTACGCATCCACAAAATCTGCATGGTCATTTGGATGTACATAGCAAAAGCAAACTGCTAGGTGTGCCTGCCAAGGTAGGAAACTGGGGAAAAGGCTTTTCAAAATCATGTGGGAGTTTTAAAGGGAGAGGGAAGGGCTTCCAGCCTTCCTGACCCCTGGGCAGCAGAATGCCTTAATGCATATAATAGAACGAAACTTTTTGTTCAAACGTAGAAGTAATGACAGAAACTATTCTAAGACCCTGGGCACCAGCTTAATCATTGCTGTTGGTAGAATGGCTGGCAGCTATATTCTCCGAAGATTGGCAGTGCCTGTGACAGAGTGCTAGGAGCCTAGAGATGACTAAGCACTCTGGTCACTAAACAGTAGCTATTTCCCTCAGAGTGGATGTAATGGGGAGGGAATTGCTGCTCAATACCTTATTCAGGCAGAGGTTGATGAGCTAATGACAGCAAACAACCCATCTGCTGGGAAGAGTTAAGCAACAGAAAGGAAGTGAAAAGGGGTGGTTGGCCAGGGCCAGAGGGTAGACTGAGGATCTCACAATATTGAAGTTTTGCCTCTTCATCTCCAGAGAGTAGACTAACAGGGAAGATTACATCAACTTGTATGTTGCTGCATAAGGCACTGTACGTGAATTGGTGGAGGGGACCCAATGCATTACACACCGGTGCTTATAAACTCTGACATGGCCAAACTATTTGTGGTGATCCAGAAGGGAGCCTGCTACAGTGACCCTAACAAAATACAATAAGGTAACCAACCTGATACAAACTATCCCTAGAAGCTATTACATTACCAGACCAGATAAAGATATAGAGAAAAGAAAACAAGCACTCTAATGTCATCTACTATATATGAGAGATGAGCGTGTGTGTGTGTTTATTCACGAACTCCTTCTAAATGGTAAGAGCTAGAATTACCAAACTTGGTATACCAGTTCCTCCTATCATAACTTAAAGCAAGGTCAGAGTTTTGTTGTGCCAGGGCAATGGGATGTGCCTGGAATTCAATTGTTTCTCATAAAACTGAAAGGAAGGAGTCTGCTAGCAGTGATAGTCATGCCGTCGAATGACCACATGGGGGCAGCCATTCTGGGAAGAGAGGGGCCGGCTGGGGAAGAGGATCTGTCTGTTGCTGGCCACCGTACCTGCTGACCCCTACTACCCAAGGAAACTCCAGGGAGCCACTGTCTGGCTAGCACAGCCCCCAACGCCCATCACCCCAGTCAGTTTGGTTGGCAACCTCTCTCCCCAGCATAATCCCTGGCCCTGGTCCCCGCCTCCCCAAACCCAACCTCCTGCCCTGACTCCTGCACTTCCCACCCCCAGTCCTTACTCCTGCTTCCCCCCACATCTTGCCCTGACTTCTGCATCCATCTTACTCTGCCCTGAGCCCCCAACAAGGTCTTGAGCAATGCCAGGTAAATCCTCTAGTGTATATTAGAAAACAGAGGCTTATAATCTGAGCTATGTAACAAATGTAGTTAAACTAGAAGACTGAACAAATGGACTCTCAGACAGACAGACGGACAGATAGATGCACTAACTCTCTAAAATACAGAGTAGGTAACTTTAAAAGATACATGTTATTAAACTGTAGTTGTAGCTGAAGTTCTTTTATGTATATTTATCATTCTACTAAATAAACACCATCATTCACTTTGTTTCTAAATACAATATTATGTATCTGGCAATCTAGCATTATAAAGCAGCAAAATAGTTTTAGAAAACAAACTATATATAAAGTGGCACAGAAGAACTTAGCGTGTACACAGTACTTTGACCTGTACCTGAGGGATGGAAGGAGGGATAACAATTCAAACTGAAAACAAGAAGTCTCCCTTTGAAAGTAAATGGTAAGTTTGTTTGGAATCTCCACATGCAAGATCTTTCTGGCAAAGGAGGCCTCTGCAGGCCTTAAAGTGTCTTATAAAGATGCTGAAAGAGTATCATGTTGCTGCCCTGAAATTTTTTCAATTGAAACACAAGGTATTTCAGTCCATGATGTCACCATAGATCTTGTAGTATGTGCCTTAATACTTCACCTTACGCCTCATGTGACTCTATAATGTGTAACATGAGCCATCCATCCAGGAGAGATGCTCTGTGCACTTTGAGCAAAAGGAGCTAAACAAGAAGCCTGAAATTCTTTTGGATTCAGTGTGTGGGGTGAATCTGTAATGGCAGAGCTTTTCAGTATGGTGCAGTAGATTTGGACAGAATGATGGAAGTATCACTTCCTGTAAAGCATGGAAAGAGGATTTCATTTTTCATAAAACATGGATTTTGGAGTCCTTAAACCGGCCTTCAGTTAAGACACTACTTAGGATGACACATTATGCCTTGTCCATACTCTCCTGAACAGAATCCAAAATAGCAGGAATTTCCAGGGGGAATGTGCTTCTGTTATTTATCGAGCTAAACAGTGACCAGGTGAAGGAATAACCCCTTAGCATTGATTACTGTCCTCAAAAAGATCAAGATCTGTGCCCCTTAGAGGACAGGCCATATGTCCAGTGCATCTTTCTCAACTGCTGGCCCTCGAAAGCAGCCTGAAAATGGAAGAATGGTGGGGCCCTTGCGAAGGATGCCCAGTCTCAGCCAGGATCTTATCCAATTTCTTTCCAATAATTTGCAGGGCGGCTGTGAATTTGGATGAGCACAGGATTTGTTTGAAGTGAGTGTCTGCATTGTAGGTCAGATGTGGTGCCTTGCTGCTGAGCTGGACGCCATCCCAGGGCCCTGGCTGAGAACTCTGCTGCATTCATTGAACCATCTGTTGAGAAGGCCGTAGCTAAGGTTGTTTTAAGGGTAAATCTGAAGTCAGGCTTGTCCTTGTCATCCTGGACAGGACACTGTGGCTTCCACAAAGCAGGCAGAGGGTAGAGATGCCCAGAAAGCAAAAATAGCCTCAAATTCCCTACTGAGGGTGCCTCTAACTTCCTGTCACTTAGGTCTTTGGGAAAGAAATCTCCTTTGGATGGGCTTATCATACCTTTTGATAATGATGCCACAATAGCATATACCTTTGGTATTTCTGCAAAGGCTTTTGGCCGTTGCTCCTGACAGTATCTAAGTGTATGCCTGTTTATGTGCTTTCACTTGCCAGAGTGTTCCCATTCTTCTCCAATCACGTCCACAAACAAAGGAGTCAGCAGGATTGGACTGTCCAGTATTTCTTTTTAAACTTTTCATCTAAAGTGGTTCTCAACCAGGGGTCTGCATACTGCAGGGGTCTTTTGGGGGAGGGGATACATCAAGTTATGTAGATATCTGCATAATTTTACAAGTTACATAAAAAGCACTTGTGAAGTCAATTTAAAACAACTCTAAAATGAACTGAAATAGAACAGGCCAAGGAAATGGTCAGGAATAAAGCAAATCGCCTATAGCTGCTATTATATAGTATCTAGCAGCAAAGTGTAGAGAGCAATATATAAAGGCAAAACTTCTAGTGGCAAACTGGAGAAGGGAGCAGGGCCACCTCAGGCTGTGTTGCAATGTGGCACCACCTCCCGAACTGCAGAGATAATAGCTCAGACATTTCAGAACTGGGGAAGATGCTGGGTTACAGAAATAAAATAAACTTGAATAACTCACTTAAAGGATAAGAGAGAGTCATGAATACCCAGTTGAGTACATTTATTAAAATATCCTTGCGGTTAAAAGACTGTCAAGAAATTCAGTTCATGGCTTGTAAAAATAATTGGTTTGGTTCTTGTCATCATTTCCATACTTGCTTTCAAAATGTCAAAACGTATTAAAAATTCATCGGTGACTAAAACTGGCTACACATTATGTTAACTTGCAGGCAGGATACAGTAAGCCAGCAAAATGTAGACCATGCAGGAAGCCTTCTGTGGTAACAGAACAGAAAAGAAAAGGGCTCAATTTGGGGGCTTACAATGCTAATATATCAGGTCTATATGACAGGAAAATCTGTGATGAATTGAAACTGAGTATACACTGTGGAATTTATTTATGCAAAGTGAAGAGAGAAAAAGATGGAGACCTCCATTTGAGAAGTGCCTAGTCTAAGGTGTCTACGCTTTGGCACCGATACCCACCTAGCTTTATAATCCCATAGTTATGGTGGAATAACCCCATAGAGTAGGGTTTTTTTTCCACTAGTGTAAGAACATCATCTCCCCAAACAACAGAAGCTAGGTCAATGGAAGCAGTCTTCCTTCAACTTAGCTGGATCTGCACTGAGGGTTTTAGCGATAGCACTTAGGGTTGTGGATTTTTCTGTTGTAGCTGTATGTCCCTCTAAATTTTAAGTGCAGATCAGGTCCTACCTGAGAAACTGCCAACACAATGTGGGTGCAGGCACTGTGACCAATTAGGTATTGTAAGTCGTAAGTGCACCCAGACAGAATTTCGGTAATGACTATACTACCTTTAATCACAGGTAGAAATAGAAACACCTTTTCCAGTTAGATAGAAATAGTTTATTTAAGACTTTTTGCCATACACTTACAGCTGCAAAACAAAAGCATACAGGTCACAGTATGAGTTAGGACCTAGCAATGTTAGACCTTCTGTATTATACAGAAAGAGTCAAAGGAAGAGTCCTCACCTGTAACTATGCCATAGTTAGGAGGTTCAAGAACGGCTCCATAGAACTGAATGATGTTTTTGTGACTGAGCACACTGAGTATTTCTGCCTGTTCAAAAAACAAAAGAAAAAGTTAGAGAATTAATAACAAAATGTATTTGCTGCAATAATATACATCAGGCTTTGGGTACCAACTACACACATATATGAATCAAAAAAGTAATATCCACTTGTGGTATTCTCCTTAGAAAACCAGGTGAGAGTGTGGGAGATGCAGAGCTCTCAGCACCTTCAGGCCACCACTTAAAGTGCCTAAATAGGGATTTAGGAGACTCGGGTTTTTTGGAAAATCTTGGTTAAAATAAAAAGATTTTGGAACTTTTTGTTTGCTTGTTTTGGTTTTACAACGATGAGTTTAATTTTTGGACCTCTCAACATGTGCAGCTGTATACAGATTGAATCTCTCTAGATTGGCACCTTGTGAGGTTCCAGAGCTTGTGCTCCTGCCCCTGCCTGGGTCCTGAAGTCTACTTTGCAATGAAACAGGCCCATAGCACGCATGGGCCAGCCATGGCTAAATGCAGCATAAACATACTCCAAGAATCTAACTTAAACCATTAAATCAGATATGTAGAGCGTATATTTATAATGTAGTAATAAACCTATTGCTACTTTGGTCCTGTTCAGGCAGTTACAGGCATTTAATGCATTTTCTTCTTGATTGTATGCTGCTGTTAATCTCTTGATTAAGATGTAACTGATGCAAGTACAAGCTTGTATCTAGGATTTGGTAAAGCTACTATTAATCTTCCATAAAACCTCCCAAATTAGGAGGTCATAAAAACATCTCCTACTAAAGACAATTACTGCTAAAGAGAAATCTTTTCTGAACCTCTTTTTAAATCTCTGTGCTCTGGAGATTCCAGCCAGTTCCTTTCACTTCTTGCTCATTTCGGTGGCTGCAAATCAGCTGTGGATTACATTAGCCAAACTGCAGTGAGACCCAAGAAAACAGCCAGTCATCCTTATCAATGCAGTTTTCCTTTGACATTTTTTCTCCTCTTCTGATATGGATGTTCAATATTCTAAGTAAAAACTTGTTGTCGCTAGTTCACTAAATAGCTAAGGACCAGATTTTCAAAGTTATTTAGTTGCCCGAACATATATAGGTGCCTAGTGGGATTTTCAGAAGCATTTAGGCACTTAAGCAGCCCGGGGAATTTTTATATCTGCAACTTTAGGAAACTGACTCCTTTGGAAAATTGGCCCTAACTAGCTCAGGCATACAAGTTTCATATTGGGAAGACACTTAATATATTTCACTCAGTTTACATGGGCACCAGTTTCTTTAGCAAAGCTCTAGTGATACACAAAGGCTGTGTCTAGACTGGCATGATTTTGCAGAAATACTTTTAACGGAAAAGTTTTTCCGTTAAAAGTATTTCCACAAAGAGCATCTAGATTGGCACAGATGCTTTTGCGCAAAAAGTGCTTTTGCGCAAAAGCATCTATGCCCAGTATAGACGCACTTTTGCGCAACAAAGCTCTGATGGCCATTTTAGCCATCGGGTTTTCTTGCACAAAAAATTAAGGTGCCTGTCTACACTGGCCCTCTTGCGCAAGTGGGCTTATCCCTGAGCGGGAGCATCAAAGTATTTGCGCAAGAAGCACTGTATTCTTACATTAGAACGTCAGCGCTCTTGTGCAAATTCAAACGGCCAGTGTAGACAGCTGGCAAGTTTTTGCGCAAAATCTTGCCAGTCTAGATGCACCCAAAGAGTTTTCTGTTGATTCTTATCTCTTGTGAGAAAACTAAATTCTTTCTGTTTTCACTATCACGAGTTGTGAACAACAAATTGACATTGAGGAAGTAGAAAAGCACATCCAAACATGTAAATGCTACAGCCTGGACACATTGTTGCACACATGCAAAATAACCACAAGTGGCATCTAATTTATTGATGGCACTGCACTGTCACAGGACAATAGCAGTGCCCTTGGCTAGTCCCAGGGCAATAGCAATCATCACATCACATTACAAACCACTCATCATACAATATTCTACACCAACAGTTCTGGATGATCCTGAGTACTTGCTGACCTCTTCTTCTAAGACTTATGCTATATGGCTGTGTCTAGATTACATCCCTCTTTCAACAGAGGGATGTAAATAAGACACTTCGAAATTGCAAATGAAGCCAGGAGTTGAACCTCCTGTTCTTCATTTGCATAATCACATAATGGAGCTCTTTCAAAAAAGCGCTATTTTGAAAGTAAAACCGCAGTATAGATGCGGTTCTTTCGAAATGAGAAGGCTTTTTTGAAAGATCCTGTAAGTTGCTGAACTGCAGCTTTTCCCATGTGCAGATAAAGACTTAAAGTTGGATTGTGAATTCCATTAAAAATAGACACGAGAAGAATTTCTGGGTAATATTTTTATCCTTTGGACAGACAACCTAAACTCCCTTATAGATTTCCTCCACAACTTCAACATCCACCACGCATCTATGAAGCTGTCTCTAACTAACATCAACTTCCTGGACACCACTATTGGCTTCAACAATGGAACCATGCAAACAACTATAAACAAGAAACCCACAGCTCACTATACTTCCCTTCGCAAATCTAGTAATCACCCAAAACACACAAATCTGTTATCTTCAGCCAGGCTCTCAGCTATCACAGCATATGCTCCAAGGAGAAAGTCTCAAATACATGCCTAAACACACTTCAAACTGCTTTCGCTAACGAGGACACTCCACCAGAGAAGTAAATCACACTATGAAATGGGCCATCCAAATATTCCAAGAGAACCAATTTCAGTACAGGAAAAAACCCTTCCAGCTGCACAGCCTTCCTTGTCATCTACCATCTCACACCAGAATCCACATGATATTTAAACTATTACAATCCATACTCAATAGAGACCACATCCCGAAAGAAATCTTTCCTAAGCCTCCTCTCTGGTTTTCATAGGACCTCCCAGTCTCTCTAAGATCCTCATCAGAGGCAAGCTCCCCACAGACCAGGATCCACTAACTTAAAATAGCACAAGACCATGCCAGAACAACAGATGCATAACCCGCAGACATACTTACATCGCACTTTGATCAATACCCCCCACAACACACCTTTAAGATCCTGGGTCCTAGACATGCCTATCACATGTGGGATCCCTCATCCAGTGCACTAAATGCCACAACAACAACTGTTTGGGTGAAACCAATCACTACACTCTCCAATGAACTCACACACAGAAAAATTATATGAGATAAAACCACCGTATCACTGTGGGTGAACACTTTTCACAAAATGAATATTCCATATTGGACTTCTCAGTTCCCATCCTCAAAAGTAACCTGCTCACTTTCGAAAAATGAGCCAGGGATCCAGAGCCGGCCCACAACATTTTGGCACCTGAGGTGGGGAGCTCAAATGACACCCCCAGCTCCCTCACTTGGGCCAAAACTTTGAAAGGTTTCAATTCTGCCTTCTTCCTGTTCTACTCTTCTCATGGTACTATTTCGCTACCTACATATGCACCAGCAGCAGACATAATTTTCTACACTCTGGGTCCTAGTGTCGTCCTCCCCCCCCCAACACACAATCTAGCACCTGAAGCGGCCACCTCAGTTCGCCTCATGGTAAGGCCAGCCCTGCAGAGATCTTAAATTTATGAGGAGTGGCCAAACTTACTGACCCTCCAAGCCATATATGACAGTCTTCAGAAGTTTGAGGGCTAGGTGCATCTGCTGGGCAGGGGTGGATGAGAGTTTTGGAGGGCCCAACGCAGCACAATTTCGCGGGGCCCCTCTCGCCTCTCACCGGGTGTCTCCTCTCTCACCTGTGTTGTGCAGCATTTCAGCATGCTGCGCATGCGCTCCTACACCGTGCAGTGCGCGGCGCCGGGGAATTTAAAGTGCGGTATCCCGCTGGGCCAGTCCTCCCCCGAGCAAAGGGCCCGTGGCAGCCGCCCCGCTTGCCCTGCCCTATATCCACTGCTGCTGCTGGGGCTCGGGACTTCTGCCCTGCCAGGATTCAGGGCTTCAGACTCCTCCTGCCCTGAATCCCAGCAAGTGCCTCTCACGGGGTGGAATCCCTGAACTCTCACACACATATGAATGTAAGGGTGTTAAATGTGCTTTCACCTGAGCGGTCCCTTAGCATGCGTGTTAACCACTTACCATAAAAAGTCTGCTCTGCCTTGTATTTAGCGGTGATACTCTCAGCACATTTCCCACACCTGAAGAAGACTCTGTGTAGGTCAAAAGCTTATCTTTTCACAACAGAAGTTGGTCCAATGAAAGATTACCTCACCCACCTTGCCTCTCTACAATGATGTTGGTCAAACACCTCCCCCACACCCGCCCCCCCCCCTATGCAAGACTTGGATCTAAAAAATCCAAGTGATTCCATATGAAAATTACCTATCACCACTTATTATTCCAGCTGTCTTGGAGGGGAGAGCTGGGGGTTGCAGAATACATACAGTGCATATTTCCCCCACCCTCTGTCTGAGCATGCTGCTCCAGATCAAATTTAAAAATTAATAGTGAGTCTTGTTAGACCACCAGGCCAACCAGCAGCCAACCAACTTTGTTGTTAATAAATCAGTTAATTGCACAGCATGAGGCACCTTCACTCTATGCAAAATTACAGGGTTAGAAATGTTTAGCTACTCCAGAAATCTGATTAGCAGAACATCCCTAAGTGTTTTCTAATATTTATTAATGTATTGTGCAATAGAGTTTGATTATTTATGTTTCTGTAAATAAATGATTGCTGCGCTTATCATGGAAATTTTCAGAATCAGTTAGAAGAATTTAAAGCAGACTTAACAATGATTTAGTTCCAAAGTCTTGCAGAGTTTAAACTCCAACATATTCCTGTGAGAGTTTAAATATAAGCTGTTCCCATGATGTTCTACACTGTAAGAATGGTCAGTTTGGATAACAGTGTCAATGTTTAATTAAAACTACTCTATATACCAATACTAAATAAAATACAAGTTGCTGATAAAAGATTTTGGGTTAAACCTTTGTGTGTTGAGTGCTGAAAGAATGGTTGGCCCTCAAACACAGAGAAAACAGATTCCCACAACATTAAGGA